ATGTGGGAGTGACTAGTGGTACCACAGGGGCTGAGTAACGCCTCTGAAAAATTCAACAGATGTTTACAAATCTGTTGAGAACGGAGCGTGATTTCGCACCGACTTACTTCGACGATGTGTTCGTCCATAGCCGGGATATGGACGTAAAGACGGACGTGGATGTTCACAGAACACACGTTCAAGAGGGTTCTCCAACTTATGCGCAAGTATAAGCTGTATGCCAATCTCAAGAAGTGTATATTTGCGGCAAGCCAAATACCACTTCTTGGGTGCATCGTGGGTAAACACAGCGTACGCCCTGATCCCGAAAATATCAAGGCGATCATCGACTGGCACAGTGCCAGTCGATGTCAAGGGACTTCGTAAGTTCCTTGTCTTAGCGGCGTACTTTCACAAGTACTCGCGCAACTACGCCGAAATGACGGTACATCTTTCTTGTTTACTCAAGAAAGATGTGAAGTGGTCATGGAATGCTGACTGTTAGCGTTCCTTTGAAAGCATCAAGAAAAGCTTAATGCAATCGCCCATACTGCCGATTGCAGATCAGGACTGACCATTTCATGTGGTCTGTGACGCCAGCGATTTTGCGATCGGCTGCGCGCTGATGCAGTTTGATGCAGATGGCGCAGATCGCGTCATCTGCTATCAATCGCGTCAGCTGCAAGCAGATGAGCGTAATTACCTAGTGCATGACAAGGAACTCCTTGCCATGAAGTACGCACTGGCAAAGTTTCGCGTCTATCTCTTGGGAGATAGACCGTTCATTGTGTACACGGACCATGCGTCACTACGCACGGCCGTAAACAGCCCCCACCTCTCGCAACGAATGGCGAGGTGGCTTTCTTTCTTCGCGAAGTACAAATTCTCCGGGGCGTATGAACCAGGACGACTCAATGTCGTCGCTGATGCGCTATCGCGCCGACCCGATTTCGAGCCGGGCGCGCAATGCAACAGTGCGGAAAAGCCCACTGTTCCAGCGCTATCAGTCAGTTTCCCGTCGTTAACACCGCTTGGAGACGTGAGAAAAGCTTACGCAGAAGACAAGAATATTCTGCGCTTGATGGATCATCTGATGGACCCATCTCGGAAATCTTTGAAAGTTTTACCGACTTTGTACCGATCCGAGGAGTATCGGTACACGACTCGCAACGGGTTGCTGTACTACACAGCCGTTGTCGGCTACAGGCCTCGTGTCGTCGTTCCCACTCATAATGATTTGCACTTGCGCATCATGTATGAGTGTCACGAAGCCCCTACAGGCGGGCATCGTGGAAGGTAAAAGAATTACCTTACGGTGAGCCGTGACTTTTACTGGCCACGCCAGTATTAGTTTGTGCGCAAGTACATTCGTGCTTGCGAGGTTTGTCAACGGGTGAAGCCTAGTTCTTCTTCCCGTTCATCTCTACAGTTCCTTCCTGTCCCGGAAGAGTGCTGGCAGTCCGTTTCAATGGACTTCGTCTTCGGGTTCCCCGAAGACGCTCACAAGAATAATGGCATTCTTGTGTTCGTTGATCGGTTCAGCAAGATGGTGCACTTGCTGCGATACCCGAGTCAATCAAGGCTCAGGGCTATGCTCGTGTCTTCATCGACACGGTCTTTAGACTTCATGGTTTACCCCGTGAACTCGTATCCGACAGTGACCCTCGGTTCACGGCGGCGTTTTGGCAAACCGTGTTCCGTTCACTTGGAACGCGGTTGAAGATGTCGACATCTGACCATCCAGAAACAGATGGTCAGACGGAACGTGCCAACCGTGTCCTCGAAGAGATCCTTCGAGGATATGTCCACTCGTTCTCGAGGTGGAGCGAATTCCTACCCATGCTGGAATTCGCCATCAATAATTCGGTGCATGCCTCAACACAGCACACACCGTTTTACGTGAATGGCCTACGCCATCCACGTGTGCCCGCCCTTTTAGAGTGTGACTCTTGGATAAGGGGGGGAGGCTCGCTCGAGCAAACACCGTTTTGGCTCTTGCTCATCACGTGTCGACGCTAACGTCGTCACGTATGATGCCGATGTCGATCAGGTCGACATCGATGAAGAAGATCACCTCAATAATAGCGATGACGCGATTACTGACTCGGATGATGATGACGATGCTGGTATATTCAGTATCGTCAACGATTATGTCCAGCGAGGAAGAAGACAACCTCGCTGAAGAAGAGAACAATCTCTTAGCAGTGCGCACGAAGCGCACTCAAAGACAAAACAAAGAGTCAGCAGAGAACTTTTTGCTGACTCGAGAGGCGGTAGTCCGTTTCGTTCAGGACTCCATCGCAAATGCGGTGGACCGTCAGAAACGGAACGCAGACAAGAATGGAAGAGCAAATGTTCTTTCATTTAAGGTCAATGACCTAGTAATACTGTCTACGGTAAACTTACCTGGACATGCAGTCACTAGTGTCGGCAGTAGTAAACTACTGCCGAAATAGATTGGGCCATTTCGTGTGTTGCACCGCAAGGGCAATTCATACACGATCGAATTGCCACGTAGGATGCGCACGCATCCTACGTTTTACGTGGGGAGGCTCAGGCCGTACTGTCAGTACGAGCCTTCTTCTTCCGATGAAGATAGCCCCCACGTTCAAGAACCTCCATTAGGTTCTTGCGTTCGCGCTCCAGACGATCCGTCTGGTCGCGCAGATATGATACCTCGGTATACAACCGAGATATCTCCCCGCGAGCTGTCGCCAGCTGTCGAATAGGGAGCGGACGTCCCGCTCGACCTGAAGCTGCGACCGTGGCATAATCGGCGCGATCCCTTGCCCGTATCAGCCTCGTGACCCTTGCGGTTCTTCCGCACGGTATCGGTCAAAGCGTAGCGCCGATCGCGCTCGTGCTTCAAGTCATCGCGCAATTCATCGATTGCGCGATCCATCTCGTAAGGGTCGAGATGGTGAGCACTGAACGATCTGGAGGAGGTCTTTCCTCCTCCACCACATCCTTTGGTGGATGCTCACGGTGGTTAACGCTTCCTAGTGGAGCGTATTTTGAACCACCGTTACGATTCAGGATCAAGGACGAGCTACCTCGTCCAGTGGCGGGGGTGTCCATCCTCGTGGAACAGCTGGGAGCCCGGCTCCCAGCTGATGATGGATGTGCCCGGTCTCGTCGATAATTACGACGAGACCCACCCTTTGACGGACACCCATCGTCGAACGAACGACCGGCGCATTCGTAAAGGTAATGCAAAGTCTCAATTCCTTGGTACATCTCGGAAGAGATTTTCGCCAACCAGTAGGATTGATTAGGGATGTATGCCTTCTTAGGGGCGCGAACAGAGTTGTCAACACAACTCTGACACTTCTCTCCCACGAGAGGCAAGGTAAACCTGCTTTTCGAAACAATCGGTGCAATTTGAACCGAGCACAGGTCACGGGATTCCGTTCAAACCTAATGCGCGCCGCAATAAATTTGTCTAACCAAGTAACACGGCCATCTCTTTCAATGCTACCAATGAAAGTATTCCACGCCTGAGATAACGATAATTCGTCTCTCTTGTAGTCGCCGTGATACCATCGATGTCTGAAAAAGACATCGATGAAGAAATCATTCTCAGTGCGATAGTTCTTCGCACTGGGGTCAAGACCATGGATCCTCGACGAGTCAAAGAGTGGGATCTGAAAGTTTTCAACGGTAAATCCATACCACTCTCTCAACTCGCTCACGGAAGGCATCCATGGCTTGTTCTCAGGAGCGGTTCGCAACGCGTTGCGAAAGTGCTGTTCCTGCGTGGTTCCAACATGAGAGCTGGCACCACGATCGCCGCAATACTAAGTATTGCTGCAGCTCCGGCTACGATGACCCGGCGAAGAGTCATACAAACTTTTATGAGGACTCACGACCTCATGCTTCGCACTCGCCTCGTATGAGTAATAGCGCGATCGATTCCATCTCGAAGACGAGTTCATTGACTCGTCGGATGAACCGAACATCTCATGGCGCATGTCCTTATCGAGTCGGACGGGGGATTCGACTCGCCCGAATAGAGCACCACTATTTCGGGTCCATGGTCCATGGGACTGCCACCTGCAGCCGAAGCTATGAGTGAAGAAGCTGCACGTGGATGTCCGCGTGCACTGTCAACTATGGGTGTTGCAGGCTACTTATCAGCAGCAGCAGGCGGATGACCACCTGCTGCTGAGTCTTGGACAGTTTGTTCTCCGTCTGCACGCATCCGTGTAGTAGATTCAGTCGCGGCCTTGGTTGCACAGCGCATGGACGGTCTCGCCATGCGCTAAGAAGCTGGAATGAGAGAAGAGAACAACGCGTACTCCCTGCCCCCAGAGCGACACGATGGAAGTCGCTTTGTCACCAATCAAAATCAATCACTATTGTGACTGATGGTTAAGGGGGTGATGTAACGGGGTGAGCCCGTTACATAAATTTGATAGAAAGTAATAATTTTTGGGTATTATCTATTTTAGATAATACTCAAATCAACGTCACTCGAAGAGGTGGCGTTGTCAAAATATTACCCATAGGGGTAATATTCGTGGGTGACCCCACTTGGTTGATGTACACGGTACATCAACCAATTCAACCACCAATCGCTACTGGTCGCACGCTATGGGTGGTGGACAGACGACCCACATAAGAGACAGTAGTTTAATATAGTTGGATCAAGACAATATGGTTTATTAGGAAACATAACTATACAAAATACAGTTCGACTTTCACCCTAAACCGAGCACTTGGGTTCTGCTCACTTTTTACGATTCCTCGCACGCCACGTGTACGAGAAGTCGGGAGCACGGGGCCTTGTGTGTAGATAATACACGGGGTCTTACCAGTCAACTGGTAAGAGCGTGCCCCGTTACATTGATGGCTCCAGAGCTTTCAGACATCTTGTACTTAATCTTATGTAATAGACCGTCCTGAAATCTCTCTCCCGCTGCTACATGTCGCGTGAATCATAGAGGCGACAGTAACGGTTTCACCTTTTCGTCGTTTGAACGTCAATACAATCACACACGATTCACTTTTGGAGGCAACAAATGCGGTTGCGGTGGGTTTCCTAAACGTGAGTTTGCACGATAAGCTTGTTATCCTGTTTTGGCCAATGCGTACCTACGCTGTGCTGTTTCAGTGGCACCGGCTCGAGCCGTTTCATTCCGGCGACCAAACATCACGAGGTGTGCAACCGTGTCCGCCTTTCTTTTTTGTCCTGCTTTGCCTCTGAAACGATCGTGTCAACTCCGTCATACGCTCGTTTACGCCGACAGCCGCACCGCTGAAAAGTCGTGTAGTCCACGCGACACGCCATCTAGGCGGCCAATCGCGCGCCACTGTCCAATTCACTCTCTACTGCTCGAATCAGTCAGTCACGGGGCCACGACGCTATGGGCATGAAAGTGGCTCGCGTGGAAGCCCCCGTACCTGTTGGATGACCTCGAGGACGGCTTGAGTGTACCTGCGAAAGGGTACAGCCACACGTCGAGCCATGCGGTGGCTCATCGGCGCGACCACAAAGCGCTGCGGGTACGTAAAGTCGCTGTCGTCCCCTGTGCATTTTTCTCAGACCTTTTGCTCACTCGTGTTTTCGTCGTTGCTGACTCTGACGCTGCTTTCTCGTGTCTCTTTTCGTGTTGGTGTGTTGCTGCAGATATGCTGCTGCCTGAGCGTGTGGTACCTCTTTTCGATGTCTGCCACATTCATTAACAAAGTCCTGATCAAGAACCATCACGTGTCGGCCGAGATGCTCACTATGTGTCACCTCTTTGTCAGTATCCTTCTTGACTGTACGTAAATACGTCCGGACGCGCACAAGTGTCTGTGTTGAAGCAAACGTGCATTGCAGAGATCGTGCACCCTTTTTTTCGAGTCGAACCTGAAGCGTCTGTCGTTTGTTGTGCTTTGTTTCTCATATGTTGTGCTGTTTCTCTTTTTTGTGTGCTTTTTTTGTAGTTGTGGTGCTGACATTCCCAAGCTCGCCCACGAATGCCAGTGCTTGGCGCATGCAGTGCATTCGTATGCGCAGCATTCTATGGATTGTCCCACTGAGTCTCTTTTCAGTCTTGGCCAAGACGTTGACGTACTGGAGCTACAACGTCGTGCCAGTGTCCATTACACAGACCTGCAAAGCGTCGCAGCCGTTTTTCAACGTCTTGTTGGCGTATGTGGCCTACCGCTCGCGGTTCTCTGCAGCGACGTACTTGACGCTGATCCCGATCGTCTTTGGTGTTGTCATGGCGTCTGTGTCGGAAATGGGCATGAATGTAAGCTTGTTGTCGCAGTAGTTGGCGGGGTCTTTGCAAAAGCTGATGGTAGTGTCGGATGTTTTGTTTTGGCTTGGTGTAGGACCTCGCGTTCTCGGGCACCATGTTTGCCGTGACGTCTGCGTTGCTGGGTGTCATGCAGAGTATGTACGCCAAGTTCCTGTTGCGTCGCCGGATTGTGGTTGATACCGTGAACGTACGTGCGAGTTGATGACATGTGGGATGCTCGTGGAGTCTTGCATTTTGACCTGTGTGTCTTGTACAGCTGCACTTTTACAGCTCATTTGTGTCGTTCGCTATCAACGCACCATTCGTGCTCATGTCGGCGCGAGCTCACCAGGACAACTTTGTCGCGAGTTTCCCGTTCGGAAAGGTGCTGCTGTGCAGCATGATGCATTTTGTCGGGAGTTTCTGCTCGTCATGGGTGCTGGGCGAGGTCACAGAGCTCACTTTCTCCATCATGAGTACAATGAAGCGTGTGGTCGTCATCCTTAGCGCCGTACTGTACTTTGGCAATCCAGTGACGCTTCAGTCGATTCTTGGCATGACCTTCGCGGTACGTGGCGTTCATTTATGCGTCAAGCACGGCGCAGGGAAGCGACGGCTGTATACTGACGTTGTTTATTTGCGATAGATTGGCGGTGTGGCCGGCTACCAGCTGCTCAAGGTTACCGAGAAGGGATCGAAGATACCCCCGCTGCCTTTTACGGTTAAAGCGTCCGAGTAAGTGTGAACGTAGATGCGTTTTGTTGTGTGGTAGACGATATAAGTTACAGTCTCCGGAGTACGGGAGTAAGTGAGCGACTGAACGTATAAGAAGAAGACAAGGGGCGTCATGGCACAAGATACGGTCAACGCCTTTTCGAAAATGCAAGTTATTCATTCAATAGAACATACCACCATTTAGTGCTGGCTGTGCTGTGCTTTGCAAGCTACGCAGCATTTATACATCGACGCTACGTTGGTTCAACGAGAGCTGGTCAGACGTCGACGCCGAGTCTCCCGGAGTCGTGTTTGCTTCGGATTGGCCAGTCGCGTCGCTTTCTGACGGCGACAAGTTGGGCAACACTCCATTCGACGGTGTCGTCGGCCCACCGGTAGCATCCGTTGCATTTTGCTGCATGCTCTGCATCCGCTGGTACTGCTGCAACATCTGCTGCTGCAACTGCTGAGTCGGCCATTGCATGCCGCCGGCCACGGCCCCACTCTGCTGCGTCTGCAACAGTTGCTGCAGCATCGCAGCTTGTTGCTGCTGAAGCTGCTGCTGGTAGACTGCTTGGGGATCCACTGGTCCCTGCCGATTCCACACAACAAACACAGAGCAAAAAAACACAAAGCTCAGTCACCGCAACAACCAGCATCCCCTCCTCTCTCTCTCTCTCTTTTCTCTTGTGTGCACCTTGCATGCCCCTACCTTCTTGGCCGGCTTGATATCATCTCGTGGGACAATGTCAATGAGAAAGTCAAACACGTCCGTCTTGGTGATGGCCGTAGCGATATCATTGCGCTGCAGCGTGCGGCGCTTGTTCTCCTCCGTGTGGATCCACGCGCGGAGACTGAGCTCGAGGATAAACATCTCACAGGCTTTGGCAAAGAGCACGGGCGCCTCGGCACTGATCATCCGCACGTCTTCGTCCGTCTTCATGATCTTCTTGATCCGAGCGAGCGGCAGTTGATGCGTCTTAAAGTCAAACGCATTCGGGTCAATCTGCGAAATGTCCTGGAGCTGGTGCTGCCAGAACGCGTGGAGCGCGAGTTGCTGCTGCTGCATCTGCGCGCGCTGGTTCTGGAGCTGGAGCTGCATCTGCAGGTTCACGTTGTTGGCGTTGTTGTTGTTGCTGCTGCTGCTGTTGGCGTCTCCGTCACTCGACATGGCTCGCTACTGCACGCAGCGGCATGAGAGAGAGAGAGAGACAGAGAGAGAGAGGGAGACGTGCACACACACACATGGACAACGGCAGTGTTAGTTGGGCCGCCAGCGCCGTTGTTATAGGCGGAAAAAGACGCTTCGCTCTCATTGGACATGCACCTGCGTGCGCTTCGGTCGATTGGTTGGGCTTTAGCCTGTGAGAATCGAGGCGGAAGCGGGGGGCGGGTTGGGGTGCACCCTGCAGAAGCCGATATCGACTTTGGGGTCCAAGCGAAAAGAACACGAGCGCTGGCCGTTGCAACTGAGTTTGCGACATGGCTACAGCCAGTGCGTGAGCTGCTTTTGTTTAGTTTGAATTAGTTCATTTGGTATCTGACGATGGAAACGCACGTGTGGGCGTAGGCGGAGTTCTCGCATGGCTTTACTTTCGTTTGTTATTCACGTGGCCAGTTTGACAGGTCTGCGATAACGTCAGGTCACACACGCGTGGCCGCATGAATGCGCTGTCATTTGTCGTCGTTTCGATGGAAGTGACACTTGTGGTACCTGCACACGTCCGTCGCTGTTTGTGTGTTGCTCGAGCTGAAGTCATCAAAGTGTCCACTTGACCAACGATGTGGTGATGCCATGCGACAGTCGTGTCATCCCATCGTACACAAGCGGAAGGCAGTGTGTGATGTCGCCTCGCTCACTTGTGTCGTCTGGGAAGTGGTATTGCCACTCATGTGAATGTGTTGACGGGGCAATTTCCAAAGAAATCCAGAGCACCTTTTCCTGTCTCGCGGCTGGTTGTTCGTTGCGTTGCTGATGGACGAGCAACGCATTGACTACAGCCACACGAGTCACCGATACGTTCGTGCAGGGCTCATGTCCAGTAGACGTCTTCGCTAATCTCGATCATTTGTTGCCTCGGATATTGCACTATCGACATCCATGTCAACTCTCGCTGGCGGACGCTCCTGACTCGTCATCCTCGATACCTTGCACGTGTGTCATGAGTGACACCTCTTCTACACCATCCGCGCCACTGCTATCCCACTCGTCGCTATCGTCCTGACGCGCTGCCATCGCTCTCGCCCGTTGTCGAGCTAGCCGCACCGCCCGCTGATTTCTTCGCTTGCGACGTTGTGCGAGCCACCGCTTGCGACGATTGATGTTGTACGCACGGAGCACAAAGCAGGCAGAGAGAAGCGTGATGCCCACCAACACGAGAATGATATTCCAGGCATAGCGAGAGGGCTCAATGTGATTGGGAACAACTGCGACAACACCATCGACTTTGATGACGTCCTGGTCGGATGCTGGCGGTGCAGCTGATTCGATCTCGTGTACACGCTTGATGTCGACTTCCTCAATCTGAGTGAACAACTTATTGTCGAGTTCAATGTCATGTACATTTGCGGACTCTTCGCTCACCACTTTCGGCAAGCCTCCGACTAGCTCGAGCTCGCTGCCAACATCACGTTGCCCAGCGTGAGCCTGCTCGTAATCTGGACTGGAAGCTTCTGCCAAAGACACATCTACCTCATTCCTCGTTACAAGCTTGTGGCTCGGCACAGCCTTTGTCAGCTCCGAACAGAACTGCGTGTTAATGATTACATCAGTCCCCACGAACGAACTTTGTATTGCCTCGTAAGAAGACCCACCCGTGGCGAGGACTTGGACGGGTTTTCCAGTAATGTCTTCTTCCAAAATCTGGTCGGCGTCGACGCTGGCGGACCCAACGATAGTATTTTCGCTGTCGACAGCCTTGTCGTCACTCCTTTGCATTTCCGCGACTTCTGCCAGCCGTGCCTGAATCAGCTCTCGTTCTTGCTCTACTAGCTCATATGTGGCATCTGAAACGTGGTGGCGAAAACCTTGCATTTCATTCGCGAGCATGTGTTGATGTCTCTCGCGATCTTGACGCATTTTAGCGATGAGCCGACGAAGATCAGTCAGAGCCTTCTGCGACTTCATGTCAATCGTCGCAACTGATAGCTGGAAAGCTTGGAGTTTTTGCTGAAGAGCATCAACGCGGCCACGCATTCGTTTTTGGTCAGCTTTCGATAGCGAAAAGTGTATCCGTTTCGAATACAACGCCATCAAGACCACCATCAACTCTTCCATAAAAAAGCCGCAGGTTCCGATTGCGAAACAGCAAGCCACCACGATCAAGGCCCACCGCGAAACTTCCACACCAGACGACGCTTTGACTTGTGCACAGCGAACCCAGCTACTACAGAAGTCACCACAAAAGAGCTGCAATTGATTTCGGCCGGTAGACCCATCAGAGTCGTAACCGTTTCCAGCATCAACATTGGCATCGAGTGCTTCGATACCAGTCGACGTGTCCTCCAGGGACGCCAGGATGTCCGCGACACTCTGCCCTGGTACTGAGGCTGCAGGTCCATTTGTAGCGGCAGCAAGCGATATACCCTCGTGATGCTGCTCCGCAAATGACATCGTTCTTTTGCCAATGGAGTCCGTAGATAACTCGCTCGGTGCCATCATATTGTCACCCATCGCCACGTCCAACAGAGACTGAAATCGATGCCCTCCGTTCTCAAAGTACAAAGCAGCATCACCATGTACAGCCGACCTTCTGCTAGCAAACATGTCAAGAAAGCTGTTGCTTGGAGAGTACGTCACTGGTGGAGGCGCTGATAGTTGATCCACATGGGCCTGTGCATCTTTTGCACCATACTTCGACCCCTTCCACATCGTCTCTTTGTCTCTGGATTTCGCTGTCTTCATGCCCGACGCAATACCTTCTCGACTATCGTCTTCACGAGACCACTTCCCCAAGACTGACGCGTCCACCGTATCGCAATGCAACAACATTGCATTCGTCCGCCGTCCGTCCGAAAGCGACGTCTCCCCATCAACATCTGGCGACCTTTTCAATGACACACCAGCGCTTCGTCTTCCGACCGACCGCTTCGCTGCTGGAACTTCAACACGTAACAGCTTTCCATCCGTCCGACCGTCTCGAGGTCTTCCTTGTCGATCCTCTCGTATCGCATAAAACTCTCTCGTGGCATTATCGGACGTCAAGACTTCGTTCGAGTCACGCACGAGCGACTGAGACGGACGTTCTGACCCGACCAAGCCGTCCTTCTGGCCGTTCGTGACGCGTTTGTGCTCATGTGGCGCCATACAAAGCGTCGTGTCCACAGCGTCCGTGTCGTGACAATACGGCGCTTCAACTCGCGGTCTTCGGGCGCCCACCCGACGGTCGAAAGAGCTGTTGCTGCTGCTGCTGCTGGGGACAATACGCAGCGACGACGACGGCGATGGCGCCGACATGCGCGTGAGACGGTAGTGCGCCTCGGCAACGCGCTGCTCTTCCTGCTGCAATTGCCACTTGAGGATCGCGTTGCAGACGGGACGGCGGCGGTGGCGGCTGTCATGGCGCGTGGCCATGAGCGTTTGGCTCGACGGCAGAGCTGATGACGGCGATGGGCTTTGAATGACAAACGAGGGCGTTTTTGGCGGGAGGGTCCATACTGAAAACAAGAGACTTGGCTTTCCCGCCACGAGGTGCAAAAGAGTCGCAATGTATGTATTTGCTCGGCTTGTGAACCGATTGGCGTCGTGTCGCGACTCAAAGGGTGCAATTGACTTCGATTCAGTATGTCTCGCTGCTGTTGTTCACTCGGCGGCTTTATTCGACCCGTCGTCGGTACGTCCTACGTGACTGGTTTTCAATTGGGGCTAACTGCTCGTGTTGTTTATTGCTAAAAGTACACCCGCTATAACGCGCAGTAGTAGCACGCAGTGTCAACATAAAAACCCGCCGAGCAGGGGGTGGAGCTTTCTTCGGTCCGTGAGGGCGGGCCCTCGGTGGGGGGCGTCACCAGTGCCTTCGTTTCCCA